AATAGTTTTATACTAACTGCCATAAACTATGCTGTATTCTTTTATTAAAACCTGAGCCCCGCAACAGTTAACTACCAGTTAACTTTAAATTATCCTCAAGTGGGACAGCGGTAATTCTTTAGACTTTCAATGCTTAAAACCAAGGGTTCGATTCCCCGCAGATAGCCCAATGTGACTTTGCTCTAAAAAACAAAGATAACTTTAAAATAGTAAGTTAAGTTCCGAAAATATTCTCCTTTAAATCTTATACAATTTTTATTGCCATGATGTTATTATTTTCTACGACACTCTATGCTTCTTTATAAGTATTATTATCATTAAACCTACTTTCTGTAGTCTGTACGTGATGAATTATACTAAACTTTTACCATTAATGTTTTCAACACACGTTTAAGAATTAACACTTCCGTAGGCGGTAAGTAAACAGACTGACAACGCTAAAAATCCAGAGGGTGACTGTTTAAAAAGAAACAGATTACCGCTTCCTATCATTTACACAGCTTTACAACCCTCCCAAGGATCCTTGGTGGGACAACGGTTAGTTTACGGACGTACAACGCTAAATTTCGAGGTTAGATCCCCGCGGTGGACATAGTAGATAACCCATTGTAGACAAACGGACACTGATGTATAGGAGTGGAGAAGTAAGAACTGCAGTATATAGTGTAATAGCATGATCACAAAACAAATAATTTTCAAAAGGTTGGTGAGCCTTCTGGTTATTTCAAAAGTTGATGGTGTTGAAACTCGTGTCATCAATTTACAAGAAAATTTATTGTGTCAATAAGAACTTACAATTCTGAGAAGTCTTGAGTCAAGACGAATTTGGGAAATCCCTTAGCTGTAAATAGATTATTACATCTATCCTCCATCTTTTTTTACTTAAGCATTCTCAGAAAATAAATCCTTATCTGTTACTGCTGAAGATACAAATACGTTAATAGCATGCAATATCTATCAAGTATGAATGACAAATTCCTGAGCTATGTAATACAAGCCTGAAGTGTGGTTTGTTATGACTGTTTACAGCAATCGACGAGTGATATGTATAAGAACCTACAAACATTCGGTGTTGGAGAATGTATTTAGCTGGAAGTAAATTGACCTACAAAGATGGCCTGGTGGATCGCGAATTCGAATCCCGTTACCAAACATGCTCGCCCTTTCAGCCGTAGGGGCGTTATAACGTATTAGTCAATCCCACTATTTGTTGTTAAAAATCAGCTCAAGAATTGGTGGTGGGTGGTGTTGACCAGATGCATTCCCTCCGGTCTTTCACTGCAAAATTAGGGACGGCTAGCGCAGATAGCCCTCGAGTAGCTTTGCACGAACTAATTAACACGCTCATACTGTACAGTGTAGCAACAAGTCAAACATTACTTTTTATAACTTCTACAGACTGAGAAATGTTCCAATATCGTTCTTGTTTCAGATCATGATCGAGGTCTATATTCTGATTCAATAATTATGTACTATAGCGTCGCCTTTTATATTATAGCGATACTGAAAGAAAAATCAAACTAGTCTTGTTCAATAACCTTCCTACAATGACCTCCCACGACCACTTTAGTGGGCAGAAACAAAACATTTCTGAGCATGTTGCTACACAACAATGAAATTCTTTATTTAAAAAAACAGTCAACACCCAAGATTTGATTGTCTGTTAATTAGGCTTAATAAGAATTGTTTGAGTCATCACGGGGCAGAATGAAAGTAGACGAGACAAAAAAACAAAAACAAAAAACAACATACAATAAACTTACTTATAAAAACTCGCTATTACAACATGCCGTGCATGCAGCTTTTAAATTATTGAATTGAAACAATACCAATATATAATTGTAAACATGTATACAGACTATACGTAAGTACAGATGCTCAACATAATTATATAATAATATACAAAATGCATTGTTAATAAATATATGTTCAAGTCTATACAATGATAATTCAATGTCTAATTTCATTCTGTCTGATTATGCCCCAGAGAAATGTGGTCAAAACGTGTCGCTAAATATTTGTTTTGGATTAATGAATAATTATGGCTTAAAAGGTGTATTACTTATTCAATTGAATACCACGAGACACATGAGCAGACCAATGAAAAATTCACGCTTTCATTATTTAGAGGAGGGATAAATATCAGAATGGCTAAAACCATTCTAGAATGTTATTACAATTATCAAGTAATTTGTTTGCGTTATCAAAGTCAAAGTTGCTGACTTATATTGCATCCATAAGTCACTGGGTTGGACAATTAGGTTTAACTTGATTTTTTTTTTTTGGGGGGGGGGTAATTTTTAGCTTGTGAAATTATGATTTTGTAAAAAGCTGCTGTGATCACAAAATAATTTTGTGGTATTTGTAAAGGCTAAACGGTAAACCCCAGAGCTTATAACACTAAACATCGAGATTTAGTTTCTGCGGTGGAAACAGCACAGATAACTCATTATAAACATTTGTAAGTTATCATTTTATACTACTAAAATATGAGGTTCGATTCCTGCGATTGAACCAGAGTAGATAGTCCATTAAGTAGCTTTGTGTTTAACAATTAAAAAAATATATATAATTTTGAAGAATCATAACGTGCCTATAAACAATTAATTAGTTTGGTCTTCATTCATCGGTAAGTCTGAAAGTTAATAACGTACAACTTAGGTCTCGATACTTACAGTGGGCTCAGTATAGATAGCCCATTGTGCAACTTTGTGCTTAACAAGAAACAAACCCAATAAATGATCACTTTTATATGATGTATAGTTTTTTTTTTTATTAATTCACGATTTACATAATGCTGTAAGTTTAACTCATAGTTAAATGTTAAGGGCCTTTTTCTACACGAAACACAAAACATTTTCCCAATACATAGTTATGTGTAGGTTTAAACTTTAACTATGGCATAAAAAAGAAGAACTTGCCAAACCTGTTTCTCTCAAAGACAGGAAAAGCCTGTTTTCTTTCAGAAAGGGAATCCTTGGTTTTCCTCTTATCCTTAAATCCAGGTCATGACCTTTCACGACCACTTTAGTGAGTAGAAGCAAACTATTTCTGAGCATGTTGCTATACAACAGTGACATTCTATAAAAAAAAATGAAATGAAATTCACCCCCCAAGATATGATTGTCTGTTAATCAGGCTTAACAACAACTATAACACTATTATTCATTAGTGAAATGTAAAAACGTTCAGGAAATAGTCAGATAAGACAAAAGTGGCGAAAACTAAGTTTTACAAGTCCTAGTAGAACGGGGAATACCGTTTAAGTAACACTATTTCTATGACAAGTCAGAGTAATTCACCTTCCTCAGGTTTTAGATAACATTTTCCTTCATCGGCAGTCTAACACCACGAAGTCTGTAAAGAAAACAACATTATATTATTTTAAATTTGGGTTTCACCTTCACCACAAGTAGTTCTGTTTTCTACTTCAGGTCATAGTTTTGTTTCCTCCCCTTCCCAGTGGTGGACACAACACAGACAGCCCATTGTGTAGCTTTGTGCTTAACAAAAAAATAAGCGTAGTTTTTTTCAAATAAAACATACAAAAAGTAAAGTTTTATGAAACACATTAAGAAAAATGCATCATTTTTTTTAACACTGGTTAATGTAGTTAAATAATTCTATAACGTTAAACAATCTACGTATTGAATTTCCTTTATACATTGTGTTATGTAAATAATTTTGGAATGTTGTTGAAGACGTAAAAATATGCTTATAGAACAGGGTATGACCTAATTAGTTTTTATGTTTATCTTGTAAGCAATCTGTATTCGATTTTTTCTTTAATGTTAATTTTATTCACACAAACAGTTTTTTTTTTATTATTTACTATACATTTTTGTTATCATGAGGATTATTTTGCATTGTTAGCTTAGTATATGTATTAGGCCTAACCTAAATCTATTAAGCTGTCTGAATCTTGAGATATTATTGGAATTACAAATTACAAGCGAAAATATTTATCGATAACAGCGAGTGGACACAACTGATGGTTTAATGCATTACAGTTATTATAAAATCTTGTTTTATGGCATTTCATACTTCTGAATAGGCTTAATTCAGATGTTATTTATAAAATAATATTACCAACATTGTGTATATAAATATTGTGAATTAATGACGAAGCTAACCCTAGAATTACTGTTGGGATTCATATTCCATCGACTATTTTAAACACATATTTCCCAACTATATATATATATATATGCATCAAGTTGTTTGTGGACCATGCCCTATTTTGTTTGTTACAGGATACCTATAAACAAATGAACATAAATATACCATCAACATTGCAATTAATCTCACTAATTATTTCTAGTGCCCCCTATTTATTGTGTATAGAAATGAATCATTTTAAGTAATATTTTCATCAGTTCTTTACACCAAGTCTTGTAACATGGCAAAAACATACAATTACTCAATATGATGCATGATCTGGGCCCCCTACCGGTAGTAACGGTGCGTAAACAAGACAGTTCTTTGAGAGAGATGACATGTCTCTCTGACTGTTAGCTTGCAACATCAATCTATGACAACACGTTTCTGAGTTTACAGCTGGTAAAACCAATTGTAATTATAATAATACGCCGTATACGTTGGACATCTATTGTCCACTGGATCCTGTACGTGTCTCGAAACGTCCGCTGTTTCTGTATGCACTCAGGAAACGCTTTCAATATGCACCACAGGTGGCGTTGCGCAAAACACACATAAAACCTGGCCTCATAAGCAACAAGTTTCTGGAATTCAGCGAGAAAAACAAACAAAAAAATGTTATACATTACATAAGACTTTAAAATGGCAACCAGAGATAACATGGCATGAAAGTAATAGAAAAAAAAAGCAAACATAACATAACATACTTAACTTATACGAAGAAGATTGCGAATACATCAGTCAACAGTTGAAGGGGAAACAGAAGCAAAAAAAAAACAACAGATAATGTCAATCCACCGCCCACAAAAATGACGTCAGCACCTATAGTAAACCCGCCTCTTCATCCTTCTGTTCGTATGTATAAAAACTGCGTTTCGCTTGTTAGTTCAATTTTTTCTCTCCCCAGAATTGCTTCTGTGTTTCAAAATCTTTCACTAGACTGAAGGTAAGCTATAATCTATATTTCCATTAAATGCATTTTATACAGTGTACACATCATTAGAAATATGTCCGAAGTGTAAATATCATTCATATAGTCTTTATTTCTTTTGTTTAGTATTTCAATAACTGTTTTGCCTAATTTCAGTTACTACTTATTTGAACTTCTATTTTAAAAACGACTTGCAGCACTAGAAACCGGATTTCGATACCCGTGGTGGACAAAGCACAGATAGCCCTTTGTGTTGCTATGTGCTTAACTACAACCAACCAACCGTTTTGAAATCTAGCCATTAGTAAAAGGCCATATAACTAACAACGTTTAACGACTAGAAAGTCAAAATTCTTAGAAATGTGGGTTTTGTTACGTCACTCAGAAATGCGCGAGACTTGTTTAGGTTATATCTGTAACTTCCCCAAACTAAATTAACTGAAGTATTTACACTTTACACTTTAGAGGTTGAACATTAACGTTTATTAATATAAATAACAGCATGTCAGGTTTGGTGGGAATATCACGGCATGTCAGGTTTGGTGGGAATATCACGGCATGTCAGGTTTGGTGAGAATATCACGGCATGTCAGGTTTGGTGAGAATATCACGGCATGTCAGGTTTGGTGAGAATATCACGGCATGTCAGGTTTGGTG